ACTTGTTGTACTGTTGATATTTGGCTCTGTTGACTAATGAGTTTGCCGGCCCCTGTCCTCAGAGGTGGGGGTGCAGCCTCCAGAGAGCCCAGCCCTGAGGAGGTGGAGGGATGGAGCTAGGAGCAGAGCCAGGGGTTCCCTCAGCACTGTCAGCCCCTGGAGGCACAGCCGGGTCCCTGGCAGTGACTTGAAAGAGGCGGCATGAGAACAGGAGGGGGAATGGAAGAGGAGGGGGACAGACCCACGTGGAGAGTCCCTTGCTCCTCTCCAGGCCTCTCTCATGATCCTCTGTCCACTCTCTTGGCCAGCCCTGGGACAGGGGCTTGTGTAGCTGGGCTAGCCCAGGCACACATAAGTGAGCGCTCCTGTCCCCTTCCTGATCCGGAGTCAATATCTGAACTGTAACAAGTGGTGATGCCTGCAGATCCCCTCGTTGTATCACTTAGGATGCACAGCAACCCAGGAGGGCGGCTGTGGCATTACTGAGTTACCAAGGGTTGTGAAGTCCAGGTCAGGAGCCAGGTCAGCAGTGGCAGGGAAGGTCCTCTCGGGGCCCGGGACAACAGAACGCTCTCTAGTAAGAGCACTGAGCTCTCTGAACACTCATTCTCTCCTTTGATCCTGGCAACAGCCTAGAACAGGAAACTTGCTGCTTTGTTTCACAGCTAGTCCCATGGCTCAGAAGAGGGTGCAGCCACTATTGGAGCTGGGACCCTTCTCCCCCACATCTGTGCTTAGAACCTCCGGGCCCCCTACCTCCTCGTTCCCCAGGTCTTCCGGCCCCTCCCTGCAGCCAGAGCCACACCTCAGACCCTTCACCTGAGGGCTTGTCTCACCCTGGCTTCCAGCTGCTGGGAGGAGGGAGGTGCTGAGGAAGGTCTGGGTCTGCCTGCCCTGAGGACCCTGGGCTGCCGGGTCAGGCAGAGAGCTGGCGCTGAGGGCTGAGCATTTGAGGCTTCCTCCAGAAGGTCCAGCCTGCCCGGGCCTGGCCTTGCCCTCCACTGCCCCGGGAGAGGGTGAGGGCCATGGGGGAGTGCTCCCAAGCCTCCCCAGGAAGGTGGTTTGAGGCTGAGCTGTCGTTTGTTTCATGTGTGGGGATGAAATTTCTCGTTTTCTCGCCTCCTGGACAACCCCGGCTTTCTCTGACTGGCTCATCCATAATCGCCGAGCGTTTTATTATGTTCAGGCCGCAGCATCATAAATACTTATGAGGAGGATTTACATGTGGGAGATTTGTGAAGAAATCAGTCCCCTGGGGCCCCGAGCCTCACAAGCAAGGGGGTGTGGGAGCTGGCAGCCAGCTTGGAACAGCTGGCACCCCTCTCCCTAGGGGTCTCAGGCCCGCGGGACCTGCCCTGGGTCCAGGGGCTGGAGCAATCTCGGCCTTCCCCATCCCAGCGCAGAACCATCCACGCTGGGGCAGCACCTGTCAAGACTTCCCTTAAAATCCCAACAGCATCCCCATCCCCTGGGCCACTTTCCCTGCCGGGGATGGGAAAGCAGAGAGGAGCCAGCAATCCCATTAGTGTATGCGGGGCAGGCTGCACTAGCGCGTATCCTAAAGCTGTATGAGCACTGAAAACAGCCCTGGGCCAGGCCCCCAGGGCCCGGGGCCCATGGAGGAGAAGGGATTATGTAGCCAGGAATCAGCCGGCCAGGAGCAGACCCTTGCAGGTGAGGGGCCTTATGGTAAGGTGACCAGACGTCCCACTTTTGGCAGGACAGTCCCGATTTTTAACTATTTGTCCCTTGTCCCATGGCATTTTTAAAAAGTCCAAAAGATTTAAAAGAATTTTTCAAAAAATCGGGACTTTTTAAAAACACCTTGGTACGCTGGACAAGTTGTTAAAAATCGGAACTGTCCCACCAAAAGCAGGCCGTCTGGTCACCTTACCTTATGAGGAGGTGGAAGCAAGATGGCTTGTGTTTGCCTTTTAATGCATGTGGCATTTACCTCCTCATCCCTGACTCTTCCCCCGCCTCCCCACCCTGTGGGTGCTGGGTAAGAAGTCCCCAGCTCACTGCAAAGCATCTGTCCTGTTCAAGCAGCTACGGATGGCGTGGTGACAGGCACCGGAGTTCCCACAAGGCCCCAGAGCTCCGGAGGCGGCCTGTCCCGCAGTGTCTGTGAGGGGGTGGGTAGAGGCAGACGCTGTCCCCAGGCCCCTGGAAACGCTGCAGGTGCTCACAGCTGCCTCCCTGCCATGCTGTGGGCTCAGTCCCAGTGGGAAAGCCGCCCTGCACTGCTGGTACCTGGCTTGTCAGCATGTGTATCCAGCTGACATTTGCCGGGGGCCTGCGAGGCTCCATGCCAGCCCTCGGGAAAACAGCTTAGATAGGCCTCGTTCTTGTGTAGCCCCAAGTACCTCCCGGTCTGCCCGTTCCTTTTTTTTTTTTTAAATATATTTTATTGATTTTTTATAGAGAGGAAGAGAGAGGGATAGAGAGTTAGAAACATCGATGAGAGAGGATCATCAATCAGCTGCCTCTTGCACACCCCCTACTGGGGACGTGCCTGCAACCCAGGTACATGCCCTTGACCGGAATCGAACCCGGGACCTTTCAGTCCCCAGGCCAATGCTCTATCCACTGAGCCAAACCGGTCTCGGCTGCCCCATTCCTTTTTTTTGTTGTTGTTCCCAGGAACTGTTAGCACCTTTGGGCACCTGTCCCCAGCCTCTCTCCCGACGGGGTATCGTCAGATTTAGAATCGCCGGCTGGAAGGGACTGGGTGTTATCTTACCCAGCCTCTTCTCTTTGGAGATGAGGAAACCGAGGCCCAGAAAGGTTGACTGTTTGCTTGGGGTCACACACAGTGAGTCGGTGGCAGAGCTGGCCAGATCTCCAGTCTCTGAGGAGTCCCTGCTGGCGCTTCTTTTGAGGGTGAACGGGGCACTCCAGCTGCTGGGGGAGGGTGGGGCCCTGTGCGGCAGCCTTGAGGGTGTAGGATCACCCCAAGCATCAGTGGGAAGGCCTAACCACCAGCCTACAGGGCACCTGTGTGCACTTACATCGATGTTCAGGGGTGTCCGGGGTGCAGGTGCTCCACCTGGCTGCCCAACAGCTCCTGCCCGCCTGCTAGAGCCCTCCAGACCCGGGAAGGTGGGTCTTAGCGTGGGGTTCCCCAGAGATGGACGCTGGAACAGGATTTCACTTAGAAGTAGTTCTTTTGGGAGGTGAAGGTAGGAGAATGGGGAAGGGAGGCCCGGAAGGAAAGGCTGGCAATAAAGAATGCCCGCAGGGTGTGCCACTCCTGACCTGCCAGGCTAGCTCTGGGTTCCTGTGAAGCTCACACCCCGTGGGAGGGGCTGGGGTGTTTGTCCACCCCCTTGGCACTGGTTGAAGTTTGCTCTTAGCAGGTGTTAATCACCTGTCGCTTGCAGCCTGCTTCCCAGCAAGAGGGTGGGCCCATGGGCGGGCACCCTGAGCATGTGCTCCCCAGCTGGGAGCCCTGATTGCCTCTGTTACTCTCCGTAACACATAATAGAGACACGAGAAGGATTGTCTCATTCTTCACCTGGGAAGCTGCAGTCAGGTCTGCCTCCAGGCTCTGTTGCTGCTGGGACTCTGCAGACCCGGGTTCTAGTCCCAGCTCCCCACAGACTGACACCTCGACTCTGGACCATCCCTTCGCTTCTTGGGCTTCCTTCTGCCTTAGAAGGCACAGGCAGCACCTGCTCCTTCAGCCGGATCAGAAGGAACAGAATGGCCTGGGGCCACAAAAGCACTTAGAAAAATGTTTCTTGCTTTTCATGTTCATCATTTCACACCTATTTATGTACATTTTTTCTACCTTTCAAATCTTTTTTTTCCCCCCCAAAAAAGAAATTGTGTATAACTAATCTGGTTTTTCTCCCAGCCCTTACCCACTGATTAGCAGGAAAATTAACTTAACTTCCAATCCGATTTAAAGCTTAGTCTAATCTGATTATTTAAACAGCCTCTTTATTATTATTTATTTTTTTTTTTTTGAAGCAGCCTCTTAAGATGAGGTTCTCTCTCCTTGGAATAAGAATGTGCAATTTCTCTGAGAGTCAGCCTTCCCTCTCCTCCCTGGAGGGCAGTGTCTGGCAGGTTGGGGCCTGGGAGGAGAGTAGGCCTTACATTGGGGCTGGGAGGTGGGGCCAGGGCCTGGCCATGAGCTGCTCAGCGTGGCCTCAGATGCTGCCACAAGGGAGACCATCCCAGGAGAGCCCTGCCTGGCCACTTGTCTGGACCACCTATGTTTCCTTTGTCCCAAGGAGGCTCTGAAGTGTCTATCCTGAAACCAGAGTGCAGTCAGACCCGGGTTCACAGCCTAATGACCGTGGGCGAGTTCCTCAGCTTCTCTGACCCCAGTTTCTGTGTGTCCCTGTGGGATAGGTAGGAGTGCCTGTCTGTGGAGCTGGTGTGTGAATTCAGCATTAACATGTAGAAAACGCTTAGCAGCGTACCTACACAAGTTAAGTGCCCAGTGTTTGCTGCGACCATGACAGCGCTGATGTGTTCCTGCTTTCTCTTTTCTCCCCTCACTGCTACTCTGTTAAACACTAGCAAGTCAGCAGGAGCTTCTGTGGCAGGAGGAGCAGGAGGCTTGCCCCAAGAGCCCTCACGCTCTGTCCTGAGCCTCACAGCAAGACAGAAAGAAGCAGCATCCGCCCTGCATTTGCTCTGAGCCAGACTCTGCCCTCTGCACTCTGCACACACCCCTGTGGAGGTTTTCACAGCCGCCCCTGCAGGTAGATTCGGCCCCTCCCGGTGGTACAGGTGCAGGAGCTGACACCAGAGCAGTTGAGTCACTTATCCAGGGCCGCACAGCTAGTGCGCTGGGAAGGGCAGGATTCAGACCCAGGCCTCTGAGCTGCAGATGACAGCCCCAGTCGCGGAGCTCCCCTGCTTCCCTAAAGAATGTCCACCCCCCACCCACGGCCTGGCATGGAGCCCGAGGGGGTCTCTAACCACTTCTGCATCTCCACCCTAGAGTTCCGATTCATGTCCGTGTGCTGGCCTCGCTGACTGTCATGCTGGCCATCTTCGTGGTAATGACCGTGCTGGTGAAGGTGGACACCTCCTCCTGGACCCAGAGCTTCTTTGCTGTCACTATCGCCTGCATGGCCATCCTCAGTGGCACCTCCACCGTCTTCAATAGCAGCGTCTTCGGCATGACGGGCTCCTTCCCGATGAGGAACTCCCAGGCGCTGATATCAGGTGAGAGCTGGGCAGATGTCCCAACGAGATAAAAGGGAGTTGGGTCAGGTGGGAAGACTGGGGCGTAGCTGCTCTGCTTGGCATCTCCACACGCCCCGTCATGTGAAGCAGTGCTGTGAGCATTTGCCCCCTGCCTGGAGGAGAATTTCACAAAGAACCCACTGTGTGCCCATAGCGGATATGTCAGGTCGTATGTGGCAGCGATGACAAATACCTCGACAAGGGTACATCCCCTTCCAACTCCCACACCAGTGCCGGACATCACTAATAGATCTGGATCTTTCCTCCTGAGCCTCTAACTCAAGCATGTCAAACTCAAAGGGCTAACATGGGCCAAATAAAAAAGTCATGTGGCTCGAGAGCCGTGAGTTTGACATGCTTGCTCTAAATCCTTCTCAACACAGCCGTGGAGGTAGCTACTGTCCACGGATCAGAGTTAGATGTGGCCTCAACTCTAATCGCTATTTCTGATGTAGGATTGGACTCAGACATTCTAGTTCTTGAGTCTGTGCCCTTGGGCCTAAAATGAAATAAGAATGGACCCATTGTTACGTTTCCGGAGTGTAATCCTTGTATCTAAGCAATGCTTCCAGAAGGGCAGGCCCAGGCTGGAGGAATGGCCTCTGAGGCTGGACCTATTCCCTCTGTCATCCCCAGCTGAGAGAGAACTCTCGTCCCCTCAGCTCCCTCCCTCTGCTGGAAGGTGTATTACCAATAAAGTGTCAACCATGCCCGTTACCCCTCAGGGGCCAGTGACCAAACTCACCGTGCATATTGGCAAGAGCCCTTCAGTTCCTCTGGCCACCCACGAATCTTCTAGAGAGGGGGATGGGTGCTCCCTGAACTTTCAGAAAGTCCAGTTTTGAAAAAGCGTTGAAACCCAGGACTCACCCTTCTGCTTCCCTCCTCCCGGGCCCTGAGTCTTTGTCGTCACTGTGCCCAGCCCCGTGGGCGCCCATCACACTGGAAGGTCCCTGGGGCTCGCTTTCCCCAAGGCCCCAGTGCCACCTCGCCAGCCCCAGTTCTTCGTCCAGAGGAGCCCATCTGTGAATTCTGCCTGTGTAGGCATCTGAGGAACAATTCATCTGTCCCACACTGGTGTGTTGTTTTTTTAAACCCCTCATTTGCATGTATTTCCATAACTGATGAGATAAAAGTAGGGAGTCATGAAGGATGAGCTCCCCGAGGCCTGGCTTGTTGTTGATGATAATATTGTACATTTCCTACGACTTGGGGAGAGAGGGGGGAGCATCAGTAGGCAGTGATGTTAGATCTCCTCCTCTGGGCAGCCGGGGAATGTCTTACCGAGTTTAACCCCACTTCTTACAAAACGCCCAGGTGGGGATTACAGCTTCTCAGAAGTTGGCAGCCTCCTGGCAAAGGGTTTACCCCGTTGTTGCTGCTTTGATGTAGGAAGGACAGAAATAGCCAAGCCCCTAATTGAGAATCTGAGAGGATTTATATGGTACTTCTCTGCGCCAGGTGCTCCTCTGAGCGCTTTTATGTAATAATACTTTTAATCCTTATAACAACCCTAAAAGGTGGGGTTGACTAACATCCCCATTTTAAAGATGAGGAAACGGGTTGGGGGGCACAGAGAGCATAAGTGACTTGCTGAAGCTCACACAGCCAGGGGGGTAGGGCCAGGTTTGGACTCCGATGTTCTGGTTCTTGAGTCTGTGCTCTTAAGCACTCCTTCCTGCACAGAGCTGTGTGCTGTTTGCTGTTTGCAGTCAGCCACTTCTTGCTTCCTGGAGAATAAAAATTCACTCATTCAGCCCTAGCTCAGGGGCTAGAGCATCGGCCTGCAGACGGTAGGGTTACGGGTTCGATTCCAGTCAAGGGCACGTGCCTGGGTTGCGGCTCGGTCCCCAGAAAGGGATGTGCAGGAGGCAGCCCAGCCTCGGCCCCTTTCCTCAGCCCTTTCTCGTTTCCCAGTTCCCAGCTTTAATAAAGGTCCTCTAAAATTCAAAACACACACACACACACAGAAAGTGGGGGGGGAGAGTGGGTCAAGGGACAGAGATGAACTAGAAAACAGGCAAAATCTTGGAGGCCACTTGCCTGCCTCAGACAGCAGCCTCTTCCAAGCCCATCAGAGGGAACCTGGGGCAGGGACATGAGACCTCTGACAGCTTAGAGCCGGAGAGCTTGTGGCTGCAGAGTCCAGGACACAGAACTGAAGCGTTGGCTTCGGTAGGGAAAACCGGTTTTGATGCTTCTAAACTTGAGCAGAGAGGAGGCAGCCTGAGATGCAGGGAAGATGGACCCGCCCGGCCCTTCTCCCTGACGCCCTGTGCTCCCCGCAGGAGGAGCCATGGGCGGCACCATCAGTGCCGTGGCCTCCCTGGTGGACCTGGCGTTGTCCAACAACGTGACGGACAGCACGCTGGCCTTCTTCCTCACCGCGGACGTCTTCCTCGCGCTCTGCATCGGCCTCTACCTGCTGCTGCCCCGGCTGGAGTACGCCAGGTGAGGCCCCGCCTCGCACTCTCTCTGGTCACTCTTCTATGTGGTTCTGTGTCTTCTTCTTCTTAATTTATTGATTTTGTACAGAGAGGAAGGGAGAGAGATACAGAGTTAGAAACATCAATGAGAGAGAGTCATCGATCAGCTGCCTCTTGCACACCCCCTACTGGGGATATGCCCGCAACCAGTTTCGGCTGGTTCTGTCTCTTCTAACTACTGATGTCATTTCATAGAAGTAGGTGGCGCCGAAACAGGTTTGGCTCGGTGGATAGAGTGTCGGTGTGCAGACTGAAAGGTCCTGGGTTCGATTTTGGTCAAGGGCATGTACCTTGGTTGCAGGCACATCCCCAATAGGGGGTGTGCAGGAGGCAGCCGATCGATGATTCTTTCTCATTGATGTTTCTAGCTATCTATCCCTCTCCCTTCCTCTCTTTGAAAAATCAATAAAAAATATAATTAAAAAAAGAAAAAGAAGTAGGTGGCATGTTTGTTTCCTTGTTTATTGCCCGTCTCCCCGTTGGAGGGTGAGCTCCTGGGAGCAGAATTGTGTAGATTTTGCTCACTGCTGTGTCCCGAGGCCTTGAACTGTGTTGTGAACTGTAGTTGCTCAGTAAATTGACTGGCCAGTGGATGTGAGAGGTCAGCAAGTGTTCGGACAGAGAGGGCAGGCGGTGGAGTGGGACCTGAGGAGTGAGAAGGATGAATAATTGCTCCATCCAGGACACCTCCGCTGCCCCGGCCTTGTGCTCCGTGAGGCCTGGTGGCGGCTCGTCTCTCCTGTGATGTTCACATGCTTGTTCCCCGCAGGAGGCAGCATGGCCATTCGTCCTGATGGGTGCCAGTCACCTGGGAGAGGACCTGGCATGGAAAGCTTGAGTTGCTTGCTCGAGTTGCACAGCCTGCTGGGATTTGCATGCCAGGCCTGCAGGTCCCCTGCCTCATCCCTGGAAATCCCAAGCTTCCTTTCTGGGCCCTCTGACCACGTGTCTTCTCCCCTGGCAGGTACTACATGAGGCCCGTCTGGCCCGCCCACGTGTATTCTGGCGAAGAGCAGCCGTGCCAGGACTCCCCCGGCTCCCCTCTGGCGGCCCCCAGACCCAGCTTCTCCCCGACGCCTCCCCTGCGCCCCATCCTAAAGAAGACCGCCGGCCTGGGCTTCTGCGTCATCTACCTCCTCTTCATCACCAGCGTCATCTTCCCCGCCGTCTCCACCAGCATCGAGTCCCTGGACAAGGCCTCGGGCTCGCCCTGGACCACCAAGTTCTTCGTCCCCCTCACCGCCTTCCTCCTGTTCAACTTCTCGGACCTGTGCGGCCGGCAGATCACGGCCTGGATCCAGGTGCCGGGGCCCAGGAGTAAGGTGCTCCCGGGGCTGGTGCTGCTCCGGACCGGCCTCGTCCCCCTCTTTGTGTTCTGCAACTACCAGCCCCGGGTCCACCTGCAGACGGTGGTCTTCCCGTCCGACATCTACCCAGTGGTGTTCAGCTCCCTGCTGGGCCTCAGCAACGGCTACCTCAGCACGCTGGCCCTCATCTACGGGCCGAAGCTCGTGCCCAGGGAACTGGCGGAGGCCACAGGGGTGGTGATGTCCTTTTACATGTACTTGGGCTTGGTACTTGGCTCAGCCTGCTCGGTCCTGCTTGTGCACCTCATCTAGGAGCGGGCGGTGGCGAGAGGGCCGGTGCTTGGGAGCTCGGAGAGATAACAGGACCTGCCCGGAGGGCTGGAGCTGGGCTCTGTGTGGACAGCAGAGCACATGGGGCCTCATCTGTCCCCAGGGAGCTGGTGGCATGTGCTGCCTCCGGGCCAGGCAGAAACATTCCAGACACCTTAACAGAACGATCCTGAGACGTGAAGACAAAAGATGAGACAAAAGACGTCTGAGTAAGACACAGCCACAGGCACATTCTGCCTTTCCGTAGAGCCTGTTGGAGACTGGGTGCTCAGTGTTCAACTCAGTGAAGTGCCAACACCCCGCCTTGCTCCTCCCGGCTGACAGCAAGGTGTGGGAATTCTCAGCCCTCCCTAACCAGGGGGGTCCACCTGGAGAGGAAGTCCCCATGGGATTTAGGTACAAGACCTAAGCCTTTAGGTACAAGACCTAAGCCTGTGCAGACCCTGCTTTCTGGGGGTGAGAGAGCACCCACCTACCAGACTGGAACCCCCGAAAGAGGCCTTCTGGCGCCCTTCATTCCTTCAGCGCGGGCTCCAGAAAGCATCCCGGGACTGGAGACGAAGCATGTCAGGCCTGTGTTTTCAAACAGGGCTCTTTAAATGGTCTTGGCCTGGGTCAGGGCTGGGTCTTTTGACACTGATGTTTACAACATGGTCATAGGTTCAAGGGCATAATAAATACCTGGGTATTTAATGAAGGGCCTGTGTGTGGGTGTTGGCAGGAAAGAACACACTCACAATGGGTAATTTGAGGATATTTGAAAGTGGGAATAGGGCTGGGGGCACATCTAACCTGCTGTGACCTTCAAGAGGTAAATTTCCTCCCTTCTTCCCTCCCTCCCTCTGTTCTTTTTTCCCTCCCTCCCTCCCTCCCTCCCTCCCTCCCTCCCTCCCTCCCTCCCTCCCTCCCTCCCTCCTTCCCTCTCTCCCATCTCCTTCGCTCTCCTCCCAGTCCCTGGGGCCTGTACCACAGCCAAGGAGCAGGCGCAGATGATGGAGAATGGATGGAGAGGTAGAAGGTACTCAGCTCAGGGCCCCGTCTAAGGTGGGGCCGCTAGCCGCTCCACTTCCACAGGTTTGTTTATTAACATCAGTAGAGCTCTGAAGCTTCCATCAACAGAATGTTGCTCTGTCCCAGGTGGTCGTGTATTTTGAAGCTGTTTTTTCAAAAGGTGACCCTCGTGTTCCACAGCCCCCCCACATTTGCGATCGCCTGACATGAGTGGTCATTTATATGGTTTTCGGGTTCCTTGAAGGCTTCTGCAAGGCTGTTCCTTGGGGGAACAAGCGGGCTTGGGAATCAGAGAGAGAAAGGAACCAGATCAGACTAGTTCTCTCTCAAGAGTCCTACCTCAAGAACAGAGCGCTTGCCCCCAAGAAGTAGCACCCCTCGAGCCATAAATCAGCCCGCTCCTCTGAGCTTTGGCTCTGAGATGTCCTGCAGACCAGCAGTCGCCAACCTTTCAGACCTCATGGGCCACCAGTGGTCCCCGGGCCACCGGCTGGCCACCGCTGCTGCAGACAACTGACTAAACTGGGCTGGGGCTGGGAATACGCCCAGTGGCAGCACCTTCTGTTCTCTGCATCTCAGGCTGCTATACACTCCCTCTCCTTGGGCCAGAGAATGAAGGAGGACATGCTTGAAAGGTGTCTTGAAACTTGATACCTTAAAAAAGGTATTCAATGCATTTTAACATAAATCCCTCCCCTTGCAGAAGGCTGAAACCTCCCCCTGGGTTTGTTCAGGGGGTATCTGTCTGTCTGGCGGCGCGTTTCAACCTCAGGTGTTTTACGAATGGGCAGCAGGTCTGCTTTCAAGTAAAACCGCAGTCTCTGAGCTCAGACACGGGGACCACCCTGGAGCTAAGAAGGAGGAGTGGGGGTCTCGCGTGCTCCGTTAAAGGGGAATAGCTTTCAGAAGTATAGGGGTCCTTATTAATTATGTGATTTGAAATGAGCACAGAGGGCAGGGAAGGAGGTGGCCAGCATGATGATGAGGTGACCAGCTCCACTGGGGAGCAGGGCTGCTCTGAGCGGGGAGGGCCAGCTGCTTGGCAGGGGGCGGATTCTCAGGCTTCCTTGCCCACTGCTCTTTGTTGCTCACTTTAGGATCCTTCCTTCGCAGGGAGGGAGGAAAGAAAATAAAATATATCTCCAGGCGGAGGGCAGGTGGTGGAGTTCAGGCATCGTACCCCCTCCCTGTCGGAGCAGCTCATGGGGCTTGGCTGCTGTGGGTCTCGAGTCTCATGGAGCTCGTTGGGGAACTAGCTCACATGCTTTTGGGAGTGAACCGAACGCGCTAAAGAGAGGGGGATTTCACAGCGAGAGAGGTGGGCTGGGTGTGGTGGGGGGATCTCGGGAAAGCTGCCTTTGTCTATTGGTTTTTGTTTAATCCAAGTGGCAGTCTTTAGTCCATGCCCTTGTAAGTTTCCAAGCCATGCACATTTTCCTTTTCCTTCTTTTATTCAGCAAAGTAAGTCAGAGGCAGCCAAACGGGTTGACTTCAATGAGTGGTTGGCGGCTGCGTCTACGAAAGTGCTTGTTCCTACGTGCATGGGCACGTGAGGGGACTCGATCCAGGGATGGGTTTTATTAGCAAGCACCCTTCATTGTGCTGCTTTCAACCTGTTGCTTCCCAGAGAAGATTTGGGGCATCCTCATCAGCTGGGATGTGATGCAGGAGGCCACCGCAGGACCCCGGCTTCTGAGGCCTGGAATGCTCTTACAGAGAACTCCACATAGAAGAGACTTTATCGCAGCGGGCCTTCATTGAAAGCCCGGTGGTTGTTTCATCTCTGTGGTATTTCTGAGAGAAAGCACTTAGAATCCATTTTACTCTCATCCCTTCCTAGGTGGCAAAGTTGTTACTGCCCTCCACCCACTGGTTGAGGTCAATCCAGTTCCCAGGCCAACTTTGACCCCGGCAGGATTCCAGAAAGAATGTCAGCCCTACCAGCAGGCAGAGGCAGGGACTAGCCACAGACCAGGGTCCAGGGCAGCCTATCTACTAGCTTCCCAGACCCCTGCCTAATGCTACCCTGTGATGGGTGCTTTACACGCATGATTCCCCCTGTCTGTAGAGGGGCACAGTGAGGCTCAGAGAGGTTAAGTAACCTCCCCAAGGCCACTCAGCTCCTAAGTGGCACAGATAAGAATCAGACCTGATCTTCCTAAACTCTTAAGTTCTCACCCACCCTGCTCTCTGGCTCCCCTGGATGAGCCCTGGTTCTCTTCTTGGTTCTTGACACCTGCTGTTCCTATTCCCAACTCCATGGCCTGCCTGGAGTCTTGTGCCAAGTATATACGTCTTGCCCATGGCACTGGCTCTGGCCTGAGCTGATCTGATTAGGGCAGCTGGCCAGACCCCTGCTGGACGGAGCCCCCGTGGGTCCTGATCCTGGGTCCACATCAGACCCACTCCCATCGCTCCTCAGGCATGAGATCTGGGGCTGCTTCCAGGCCCTGCCCTCCGGGTCCCACATTCCCTCCTCCCCAGTCCCTGCCGCTGAGGTCGCCCCAGCATGGCTGCTGCTGCTGGACTTGTAGGACGTGGGGGTGCAGGACACAGAACACAGCCTGGGGGTAAGAATGCCTTACTCCCAGCCCCACCAACCACTGGCTGTGAGTCACATGCCCTTTCTGAGCATAGTTCCCCATCTGGAAAGGGGATGACAAAGTCCTGGCGTGACCGCTGTGCCAGTGACCAGCTGGCCACACCCAGTCATGCCCACTCCCCGGCCCACATAGGCAGAGTGACACCAGGCTCACAGCCTTCGCAGCAGGGTGACTCAGGGGCACAGTGCACAGCCTCCGCTCCCACCCACGTGTCCGCCACTTGGGACTCGTGAAGGCGCGTCAGCCTGAGAGGATGACCTTAACTTCAGGCTGCAGTGGGCTTGACCCCGAAGACTAGCATTGACGGCCATGCTTTCTGCCCCCACAAGTCTCCAGCCAGCTGACCCACTGGCCCCGTGCACTCCACTGAGAAGTGCCCTTGACCGGAAGTTGGAGGGAACCCCGGACGTCAGCATGGGGTTGAGGAGTAGGCAGTCAGGTTTCAGGTGCCCACACCAAGGTTGGAATTCTGGTTCTGTCAACTCCTAGCTAGGTCACTTCGGCCCAGTCTTCCCGACACTTTCTCGTGTCTAAAATGAGAAGCCTCAGGCCTGTTGTAAGGATTCAATAGGCCCTGGTATTGTAGACACAGTACCTGGCATGTAGCAGATCCTCAACAAATGTGTTTTCCGCCCACATTTTGCTGCTGCATGGAGAGTCTATTGCAGTGCCCAGCTCCTTCCCTGTGGTGGGCTGTACCCTGCACCCAGTGCTTAGTACCCAACCCTCTCCGGTTCCCCAGCCCCAGGGTCTGGGCCGGCACTTCCAAGTCTGATATCTGTCCTTTGATGTCGAGGTCCCTGCTTGAGTCCTGCCCAGACACACCTGGCCTAGGACAGAGTGCATGGGGCAGAAAGCGAAATCTGAGACCCCAGACCAAGCTCTGCCCCCAAACCTGACCTCTGGGCAAGCCACCTCACTTTTTCCCTAAGCCTCAGCTGGGAAAATGGACATCCTAGCATCTGTCCTGCCTTCATCATGAACACGTGGCCAAGTGCACAGATTCCCTCCTGTCCTATGATGGTTCCTAGGGTCTGCCCTCCAGAGCCACACTGCCTATGTCTGAATCCTCACCACTTCTAGCTGCGTGACCATGGGCAAGTTCAATTTGCCTCTGTTTTCTCATCTGACAATGGGGGCGATTGAAGGACAGGTCTCAGATCTGGGTGTGTACATTAAATGGTCTAGTGGGGATGCATATAAAGCATTCAGAATTGAGCCTGGTGTGTAATTGGTGCTCATCACCAGTTCCTGGAAGGCTGTAAGTTCAGACCCCACTTGGAAAACCGCCATGCTAGACCACCAGAGACTGATGAGGGCTCCTCAGGAGCTCACATCTGGCCCAGGGAGAGAGACAAGGGCTCCGTC